GGCTTTCTCAATCGTCGCCCCCAGACTCTGGAACGACCTGCCGGATGAAATCCATCTATTAACATCGTTAACCAGCTTGAAAAAGGCGGTCAAGACGGATCTCTTCCGGCAGGCCTTTCCAGATTAATATCCCAGCCTTGGGTAATTCCCCCAATGTTGCTCATGTGGCCCCATCTAATGATGGATGAGCTCCATTGTGTAGGCCATAGATGTTCTGTAGTTGTTAGCAGATGGTTTTTTGGTTTTAACTATTGGAACTGGTTTTAACTTTTATTGTAATTTTAATTCATCTAGAGTTAATGCTGTTTTAAGGGGGGAGGGAATAATTTTTGGATTTTATGTTTTGTATACTCTTTTACTGTTGTAAGCCACCCTGATTGGGTTTTCCCAAAGGGTGGGAGAGAAATAAATTTTATTATTATTATTTTATTATTATTATTAGACCTCTCAGTAGCTTTTGATACAATAGACCACGGCATACTCTTGGACCACCTGAGTTAGGTATCGGGGGCACTGCTTTTCAGTGGTTCCGGTCCTTCCTCTCGGGTAGGTCCAAGAGGGTGCTGCTCGAGGACAGTAGCTCTAGCAAGAGGGAGCTCACTTGTGGGGTTCCTCAGGGGGCTATTTTGTCCCTGATGTTGTTTAACATTTATATGAAGCCACTGGGTGAGATTATATGGAGTTATGGGGCTGGGTGTTATCAGTATGCTGGGGACACCCAAATCTATTTCTCCGTGTCTCGTTTGTCGGTCTCATACGCCAGTTGCGCCCTTTTCTGGAAGTAAGGGATCTCAAGACTGTTGTGCACGCATTGGTAACCTCACGCCTTAATTTCTGTAATGCAGTCTACATGGGGCTACCCTTGTGCTTAGTTCGGAAATTACAGCTGGTGCAAAATATGGCAGCCAGACTTATCTCAGGAACATCTAGGAGGGACCACATTACTCCAGTTCTGAGGTCCCTCCACTGGCTGCCCATCAGCTTCCAGGCCCAGTACAAGGTGTTGGTTGCTACCTTTAAAGCCCTAAATGGCTTGGGTCCAAACTATCTCAGAGACTG